TTATCACCTTCAGGATGCAACATATGGTGGCTTGGAGCAAAATGCTCATGAGACCACCAGGTATCTCAGTAAAATGGCATATCTGGCGTGCCAGATTGACTATGAGCACTACATGAGAGAATGTTTCTTGAATGTCTGTCTCAGGGCTCCAATCAGAAGTGTCACCATCAGCAAATGACACACACTCACATGTTCCCCATGTCTCCATCTGTGTGGGGTGGGATCCTTCCTCGTGCCTCATCTTTAACCACTCTACCTCAAGGCAATACACATTCAACAGAACAAACAACAAACCAATTCCCGGTCCTTTCTTACCAGCTCCTCCAGGCTGTCAAATCGAGCTAGCTGGGCCTCCCGTTCCATGCAGAAAGTCTGGCTGAATGTCCAATTATTTGTATTTTCAGAAAAATAAAAACATTTACTCCCAAATCCAATCCAATCTCTTGGGCAAGCAGCATAGGTATTATTGATTGAGATTTGTTCTTTCTTTACTAGAATTTGGACAATAAAACGAATTATAACAAGAATTGGCATCACCTACTAAGCTCAGCTGTGAGGTGTGAATGTGACTGTAGTTTTCCTAACTGATCTGTGGAAATCCTCTCCTTAGCATGATGGTCCTTTATCTAAAAACATCCCATCTAGGGGCTGTGCCCCAATCTCTCTGGGTGCTCACAGAAAATAGAGCTCCCAGGAAGTGAATTTCTATATCATCACTTTTTGTGCTTTATGATTATTCACTGCAGTAGGAGTTGCTAGAGCAACAAGCACTCTGTATGGACACCGACTTTGACAGTCAGACTGATAATTGAGGTAACAGGAGGACTATTGGGAAGGTAGTATACACAGTGTGGATGTGTTGCACTAAGGGATTGTTCATATCTTGGAATACATTGCTGGCTTGTTAGAGAGCACAGTCTGCCATAGCCTAGCACCTTTCTCTATAAGCTCAACAATATAGAACTCCCTCCCCCTCCAACAGAACTTCCTGCTCTCTACCTGACCTTGTCTGGAGGATGTCCCAGGGCCTGGAGGACTGACCTTGTCTCTAAAACCAGATGGCTGATTCATCTTTAGCTTGACCCTTGATACAGATCCCTGCTAAGAAGATTTATGCTAGGAGTTCTGCTATAGGACCCTACTGCCACATGCCAAGCCTTGTGATAGTAGAATGCCACTTAACACAAATTAGGGTTTGTCCCCAGGTTCCCCAATCCTATATATTCCTTATACTCTGGAATAAGTTGAGCTGATTCCCCCAAGTCTGTCTCTGGGAGGCCTCCCTTCATCCATGCCCATGGGCTGCATACAAAACTTTCTGTCACCTCTTCTCCATCTTTCCCTTCTCAACCTGATGGCCAATAGGCTGAGAGGGAAAGAGGCCACCCCACAGATGGTGACAGTACAAGACCTCTAACACTATTCTGAAGAGTGTGGTACTAAAATTCTTTAATTGATCATTTCAAAAACCTTTCATTGAATACTTTCAAACTACAGTTGAACATGGTAACTAAAACCATGGGTAATGGCGAGAGGTGCTGTATCTTCCTGGCCATATTACTCTTCTCTGTTCTCATACTTCCTTAAGGTTCCTCCTTTAGGTATTGCTCTCCTTGTTCTCCACCTTGAATAGTTCCCCCAAGTAGATATATATCTCCTGCATCTTTCTGGAGGTTGCTGAATGCCATCTTCCCATGGATGCTGAGCCTGGCCTCCAGTGTACACCACAGCCTGTGCTGTTCCTTCACTGCATCTTCCTGCTAGACCCCAAGTTCCCAGAGAACAGGAATTTCCAGGGTGTTTTCTCTCCAGCCCTCCCCACAGTGCCTGGCTCACAGTGGTCAGTAAGTCTAAGTGACAATGTGAATATGAACAGAACGCTGCAGAATCTGGAGATGAGTCACCCACCTGACAATGCAACAGACAGTGCAATTACAGCTGCAGCGAGGACGGCGATCACTGTATAGCAGCAGTAGAGCTTAGCAGGGGACTCTGGGGAAATGATCCTGAGACATTTTCCTTGGAGCTTTTTACCTGAAAACATAAGTATGAGAGTATCAATCTCAAGAACCTTTTAGGGAAAAAGATAAATTTGCCCAGAATCATCTGTAGGTCTGGCTTGTACTCCCCTGTTGCAAATGCCCTC